ATAAAAGGAATACCAGACTGAGTTTTCTGGATTAGTTACAGAAGTGCATACTATGCTACCTGGCAGTAAAACCATAACCTTTGGCGATCTTTTCTGACCTGACAGGAATCTACAAGTTAATATGTTAACTTGACTGCGTTTGGGTTCTAATCAAACACTAAGTAGCAAAAATCAAACTCAAGTAAATTCTCCCAGTGACTTACTAATCCTCGAGGGATCCTTGTTAAACCGTGCTCTGTTATGGGATCGAAAGGACATGCTTGTCTTCCTTTCTGACATCCAAGTCTCGAGTAATTTTTCTTAGCAATATACCTGACTATTGCAAACACTCGACTTACTCAACTAGATAGGCGTGGTCTGTTAAGCTCATGAAGGTCTCCTCCACGTTGGTGAGTGGAGAGGTTGCACGGTGAAGCAGAACAGAGACCCAGCAGGTAACTTGATGCGTCATTTCCAGCCATTCATAACCTTCCTGTTCTTATTTTTCTGGACTGGAACAAATGGATTACTACAATCTCTCACAATTTTAAAATATTGTGACCCTTAAAAGAATGAGATTATGAAGAGCAAAAATAGCCTGGGCCTTTACCCAGCGTGTGGATTAGGCAACAGTGCCCCCTATAGGTCGTCTGTGAGCTCTGGGCAGGCCAGCCTTCAAAATCGTCCCGTAATGTTTGAGGACTGTCCCCTCCCAAGAGGTTTGGGCACCACTTCCTGTCAGGATCCCTGATTTAATTTGTCTGTATATACCGCGTTTCCCCGAAACTAAGACAGGGTCTTATATTTATTTTTCCTCAAGAAGACACCCTAGGGCTTATTTTCAGGGGATGTGTTATTTATTTTTTTTAAGTACGGTACAACCATCTACATTGACTCAAATAGAGTGAAGTCGTCTTCTTCTGGAACATCATCCTCACTCTCCAAACCCCGAATCCCATCCTGAATGTCTTGCGACTCTGTTTCCTTTAGAACCACTGGCCCCGATCTCTCCTGTGGAGCACTAGAGCTCTCACGGGGCGGATGAGAAGGGCTGCTCGTGTTCTTTCCCGCTCCGCGACGACACGCATGGGTTGTGCAGATGCGCTGCGCAGCCACGCCCTTCACTAGGGCTGATTTTCATAGCCACGCCCATCACTAGGGCTGGTTTCCATAGCCACGCCCATCACTAGGGCTGATTTTCATAGCCACGCCCTTCACTAGGGCTGATTTTCATAGCCACGCCCATCACTAGGGCTGATTTCCATAGCCACGCCCATCACTAGGTCTTATTTTCAGGGTAGGGCTTCTATTGTGCAAATGCTCAGAAATCCTGCTAGGGCTTATTTTATGGGTAGGTCTTATTTTCGGGGAAACACGGTATTATATCCATCGCCACAATAATGCTGCATAACAAACAAACATAATACTTCTGGGACGTACAGTAAACGTTTGGTTTTGCTCTCAAGTCTGTGGGTGGGCTGTGAAAGCCTGTTGATCTTCACGAGGCTCACCTGGAGACTTCGTTCGCTCTCAGCGGGACAGACCTGTGTGTCTAGTGTCAGCTAGCTGTTGAGTGAACTATCGGTTAGCATCCCCGGGATAACTGGCTCTGCCCCAGGTGATCTCTCACCTCCAGGAGGCTTTCCCAGGCCTGTTTTCCTAATATGGTGGCAATGCTTCTCAAGAGAGAGTGGACACAAGCCAGAACTCTTGAGGATAAGACTTGGAAATGGGGCAGTGTCCACCACAAACTGTTGGCCCAACATGGTCATAAGGCAGATTGTTGGAAAATAGACTCCATCTCTTGATGGGGGGCCGGGGGGAGTGTGTACACTCACATTGCAAAGGGCTTGGATATGGAGTGAGATGATGGATTTGGTGCCATTTTTGTAACCGGTCTATCACATACAACATGATTCACAGGACTTCAGTGAGTTCCAGCATGGTCCTGGTGCAGAGGGAAGGATGAACTTGAGTCTTGTTGCACTTTGTTTCTTGGATGCGGATAAATTACCTGGAGTCAGTTTGATCTTTTCTATCTTGCTCTTAAAATTCATCCGGTGGGATCAGAACAGTGTCTAGGGCTACTTATTCTATGCTATTGAGGCAAGACTGTTCTGAAGGTATTCTACCAAATGATGCATAAATTCGACATTTTTTCAGTCCAGTGGGTGAGAACATGAACTATTATTCCCGGCTTTGTGTGAGCATCAGGTACTGTTTCCTTGAATCATTTCAGGCAGTTCTTTCTTTGGCCTTTGTAATCACCTTACACTCATAAACTGATGTGTGCTTAGCAAAATATTCAGTGAAAACTCTCTTCAGATTTTTGGAGTTCTCTCTGTGTTCCTTGTTCTCCTCTCTGGTACTGTGTGCTATAAACTCCAGCCACCCTTGTCTCTCCAGACTCTCGGTTCCAGCTCCTCAATTCAGGGAGTCTGGTCATTTTTTTCTTGGGTTCTCCTTTTCTGCACTCCCACAGCATGAAAACTCTCTCAAGGTGGTTTCTTTTCTCAGTGATTATAGTCCTATCTTAGAGCCCAGTGCTCTAAAAAAAATAATGAAAGTTGTTCTGTTGCATATTTTGTCCAATTTTTTTTTTTTTGTCATTTTAGGAAATGTTTGTTGCTTCATTTTGGCTAGAATTACAAATCTGTTATTTCATTTTGGCCAGAATTGGAAGTCTCTAATCCTTAGAACTTAGGTTGTCTGTGATGTGTAGAAATCTGCATTTTTCCCTACTGAACTTTCAGTGAAAGAACAGCTAGCCAGTACAAATTAATGTCAAAAAATATATATTTCTTGGCCAGGCGCGGTGGCTCACGCCTGTAACCTCTAGCACTTGGAGAGCCGAGGCGGGCGGATTGGCCGACGTAAGGAGTTCGAAAACCACCTGAGCAGACCCCGTCTCCTACTATAAATGAAAGAAATTAATTGGACCTGTAATATAATATATGAGAAAATTAACCGGGCATGTTGGCACATACCTGTATCCAGCTACTCGGGAGGCTGAGGCAGGAGATCGCTTGAGCCTAGGAGTTGGTTGCTGTGAGCTAGGCTGATGCCACAGCACTCACTCTAGCCTGGGCAACAAAGCGAGACTCTGTCTCCAAATATATTATATATGTATATATTTCCTGTTTGTCTAATTCATCCCTTTTTACTCTCTCTTCCCTTCTCGGAATATTTAACATGCTGTCACAGTTTGATTCTTAGTTGTCTTTTACTTTTCGTTATAATCCTGATTGTACCCTGTGTGAGTATGTATCTTATCTTTCCAATGATAGTATATGCTCTTTTAACATTAGGGTATACCTTATCCCTCTTTATATTCTTTACCGTGTGTATAACATTTTAAAAATTAATGTGAATCAACTAATTATCATCCTCATCTGTAAAAAGAGATCCAAAAATCTAATGATTAAATTAAGTGGTTTTTATGATGTGCTTTGTAGAAGAAACGTGCAGGATTAAGTAATGGCTCTTCAGCTTTTGGGGGTTGGTGTCAATTTTGGTTTCAGTTGTCTCCACCAAAGTTTCTTGCCTTGTGTTAGGCTGCAAGCTCTCGTCGGCTCAGTCGCAACCTGCCTGGAAGCACACTGTTAAGCTGAGGTGAAGAATGTTTTCTACGCCTCTCAGACTCTGCACTGGCTGTGTTTTGTGAGGCTGTTTTTCTTTCTCCACTCAGTGACCTTTGAGTCATACTTTACAAGCATATGAGATGTGGACTGAGTGCTTCAAACATGCTTGATGAGCGTGCTGCTAGAACAGATGGTAGTTGCGGAATGAACCTTTATCTCTAAAGGGAGATCTCCATGAATTGTACATGGTTTATCCACCTTGTGTAGGACTATAGGTGAATTGCCCTCTGAGGTTGGCTCTTTCTAATCTCCCATATATGAGCCACTCTTCTTTGCCCTGCCCTCTCTTTCTCCATCTCTCCATGCACCATTTGTTTCATAAAATCATAGAGGTGGAAGGTATGGAAAGTAACTACAGTATAACCTCAATATAACTTAGAAGAAACATAATTAGGGAGGATACATTACTGCAAAAATTTATAGTATATTCTAAAGTCAAGCATGGCTACTTAAGGGATTATCTGAGCAATTTCCTTCATTAGCATGGACAATCTATAGTTGAGTTTATATAGTTATTTATTGTGCCTGTCAAAATTATCAGGGGAATTAACTTTAATGGTTTACCACACAGCTTATAACCTTGTTCTACAAATAAAAGAAATGTGATGGAAAAAAGTGAATTACACTTTGATTTGATCACTCTCATTGATTCATTGTTTGGACTCAGATATTGATGCAACTATTTGGTGATGCTGTTTTTATGTCTGTTATAACATTTCATTTAAAATTATCTTTCCTTCGTAGTTTCATCATTAATTCTGGTGAAAAACTAAAATGTGTCAGGCTTTTTATATTTTATAAAATAATGTGTATGATTGTCTAACTAAGATTCTTTACGGAAATAAATTCCAGGGATTTGGAAATCAAAGTTTTTAAAGGAATATCATGTACATATGAATAGTCGTTATAGTTATTGGGTGCACACGACTAGGTATAGTTCTTGTTTATAAAACAAACATATATAAAACTATTTGAAATATAGATGAAATATTTCATAATATTATTTGCAATGAAGTTGAACAAAGAACTTATACAGCTATAGTCATAAATTTTTAAAATAAAGTCAAGAATTACCTCGGTTTATAGACCTAACAACCTTATCTTCCTTCTATAGATTTAAACTCTAATTACTTATAGGAATGGGCCATATTTTGAAATGGAAGATTTTTGATTGAGAGTTTCAGATAGATGCACATTATCTTTTAGTTACGCATTTTGTGCTTTTTTTTTTTTTTATCAAGCCGAGTGGCTGTAACCTACTTAATAAAGCTTTATTTTTATGGAAATTACTAACTTTAAGTATTTTTAATCCCTTTAAATCTATACCAGCCTGCGTAAAATCACATAACCAATATACAATTTTCAATATGCCCTCTGCAGAACACAAATGCCAACTTGAACATGAGGAAAAGAACAAATGCTTTGGTTCACTCTGAATCTGATGCTGGCCACAGACTTGAGACGGGAAACCACGTGAGCAAATCTTCCACCACCGCTGTTCAAGAATCTTCTGAAGCCACGCCTCGGTCTTACTTAGCTTCCAGCCCAAACCCATTCAGCCGGGCAAACGCAGCTGAAACTATCTCTGCTGCCAGAGCCCTGGCACCTGCTTCTCCTTCTGCTTCTAGTCAAACTGGGTTTGTGTCCAGACAAGCCTCACTCGGGTCTGCTTCTACCCAGCGTGTGTTTGGATCGAGACTGCAGAGGATCAAGACCACAGTGAACACCACTGGGGCCTCTGGAAAACCATCAGCCCCCACTCCTCCCTCCACTCCACCCCCTTCTGGGTCTGGTACAAGTAAAATAGACAAGTACGCCCGGATTCTCTTTCCAGTCACATTTGGGGCATTTAACATGGTCTACTGGGTGGTTTATTTGTCTAAGGACACCATGGAGAAGTCAGAAAGCCTCATGTAGTTTTGTTTCTATAGTAGTTTGCTAAAAGATGACGATGGAAAATGCAGACTGTCTTTTTAAATGTTTTTTAAATATAATTATTCTTTGCTAAAATAAAAACTCTATGTAATTTTTTTTTTCCATTTAAAAAATACAAGCCAGTTATTGGGAGCGTTAATTGATTCCTCAGTAAAGAAACAGTGAACCGTCTTTCTTCCTAGATGATTTTAAAAGAATTCAGCGTTCCAATTAGACAGAACACAGACCCTCTTGGAAAGTTGGAGCAAGGGAAATAGGGCTATCAGAGATACATGGTGCATATTTCTGCATTGAAAATTTGAAAACAGACTATGACATTTTTTTAAAATACCCTGTGAATATCAACTAGGCATCCTAAATTTCCCAGTGGCCCTGCCCTTAACCAGAATTGTTTATCAGATATCATATGCAGGCACCTTTGGAGAGCCTCTTAGTACCTAAAAAAAAAAAAAAAAAAAAAAAAAAAGAATTTCTGCGTCAAACAAAACATCAGTAAAAGGAAAATGGAATGAGACGTCTGCGCGCCCTAAAACAAAGACACAGACCAGAGAAAATGTGTTCCCTTCCGTGTGTTGGCCAAACAGTACTAAACAGTTGACTTGAAATTTTATGCTTTGAGCCAAAGGTTAACTCACTGTACGGATTTCTTTTTCATAATAGTTCCTTCGGTTACGTATTCATCCACTACACAGTAACTCAGAGCCTATTGTATCCCAGCCGCCCTGCTAGACACTACCTTTCTAGGAGAAAGCTCTTTCACCTTCACCTGCAATATGACTTAAAAAAGTAGGACAGTTAATGCATGCCAAAGAACCACGAACTAGCAGGGGACGTTGCACTCCTTAGTGAAGGACGTTTATTGTGACAACACATTCGAAATAGCTCTTCCTCCTATATTGACAGAGGATGACGAGTATATGTGTCCACATATCCACTTTGAGATGAGTACACGTCAGTACAACTTCGGCAGTTGGTTTTCAAAACATAGAGACAATGTGGGGTGCAGATGGTGCTGTAGTGAGTGGAAAACGCCATGTGTCTGGCAGTAAAAATCTGGGCACGGTGAGACTTAGTAGGTGACCTGTCTCAAGTGTGATCAGAATCGAACGTGGTAGACTTTGATCAGGAAAGAAAAACTTTCAGAAATAGGGACTCCATAGAAGCCTTCTAGGTGCTTTTCCTAACGTAGATCTGCATATTAGGGCTGGTGAAATGCTTATTACCTTCTTGACAGTTTCGTGTCCATGTTCTAGTTTTCTGGGAAGTTCTTGTGTTTGTTTTCCGAAAGTTTTGTTAAAGTTTCATAATCAAGGTGAGTATTTTAAAATTAAAGGAGCAGCAAAGGCAAGGCATGAAGGAAGAAAAGCATAGACGTGGGGTAGGATACCACTGACTTTGTCATGCAATTTATCAGGACTTTCATGTACTGACTTCTTTTTCGTTAGGAAGTCTTAATGACTTAATTGAATTTCTTGCAGCTGTCTTATATAGCTCAATCCAGGTCTTTTTTTTTTTTTTTTGTCGTGTCACTTCCAGACTTTTTCCTCTATACTTTTCTCTACCTGTTCTTTAGGTGTGTGAATGAATGTGTTCTGTGTGACCATTTTGATAGAAATGGACACTTTGTAGACAGGATCTCTTATTTTTTTAGAAAAGAAATGATGTTGATTAATTGGCATCGATTTTTCAGTTATTGCATTGCCTTGTAATGGTTGTATATGAGACCTGTAAAATGTACAAATGTCAAATATTAACTGTGAGTCCTATCTGAGAATTCCTTCTTGGCTATCTCTGTAGGTATTTCACAGAATCAACACATTTTAAGGCTGAAAAATACTGTAGAAATCACCCAGTCCACACCCCTCATTTACAAATTGATTCCAGTAAAATGAGGCCCAGTAAAATCTGTATATATGTATATATTTAATAAAGAGTACTTGTACAAAAAAGCTTATCATAAATTATTTCATGAATGTGAATAGATTTCTGGCCTTGAGAACAATGCTTAGAATTGTGGTTGGAAGCTATGATAGTTCCTTATTTTGATGAAATGACTTAGTTCTTTGGTGAGGAACACTTAATCTTTGCTTATCTATTGGCCTAATTGTAATAAATATTTCACTGGCTTCCTTTTTTAAAAATAATATTTTTCTCCTATAGATTTTACAGGCTTGAAATGGATAAAAATAAATGATTTTAGATTTATAGACCAGAGATCCAGGTGAACTCATAGTGTTTTTTCTTACCTTTGCATATGACAATTTAAGTAAATCAAGTGGCTGAACACAATAAAAAGGACAAAACTAACCAAAGGCTTTTAATTGTTAATTTGAAGAATAATCTACCTAGTCTAATTGTTAGTACAAAATAAATTATTTCATTTGCACAAAATGGTTATAATAATAACGTGTGTTTTGTTTTCCCTAAATGAATGCCATCAAACCCACTCAACGATCTTTATTTTGGCCATCATTTATATCTTCCCAGTAACTCGGAGGTACATTAAGTAAAACACGTTTGTGAAGAGCCAGACACTTTTACTCTTTGAAAACCTCACAGGAATAATCAGAGAAGCTCAAAGTCCTGATAATCTGGCAAGAAGAAGAGGAATTCTGGCTGAGAATGGTACCTTTGTATGTCTCTTTTAAAGGTGGACTTCAGAGTAGTTTTATTTAGTACTAAGACCTGTACTCCAAGTTGAATACTCACTGCTACACAATGACTTCTAATCTCCTCCAGGCATGACTATGTGTAAAATATATTTACATGATTAATCCACAGTTAAAAATGAACTTGCATTCGTGCATATACATATAGTACTTTCAATAATGTATTAATATGTTTTAAATCAGACCTCACAAATCTGGAGTTAAAGTAGGCGGAGAGATAGAGTCACCCTCTTGTATAGATGAAATGCGTTACAGAGAAGTTAATAACAAAAATAAAAGCCCGGGGTTGGAGTGAACTTTGAAAGGTCATTTTTCAGTATCCTCACCTTAGCGATGACTGTGTTTCAAGCAATATGTAAAAAAATTTATTTGTGGTTTGTATTACCCCATGAACTGCTCAATTCTGCTTGGCATAGGAAAAAAAAAAAAAAACTCCACTCTTCTATGCACTGTTTTCCAATGGTCCCCTCTTCTAAATTTGTGGACAATCTCCAGTGGAAAAACACTAGGTGGAGGGACAGGTCACTTAGTTTCAAATTCTGACTGTATTGTGGTTTTAGACAAGTCATTTAAACTCTTAGAACTGATTTCTCACTTATAACAGGGAGGGGATGGATTAAATAGTATCTAAGACTTTTTCAATTTTAATATTCTCTGATTTTCTTAGTAAATACAAACATGTTCTTATAATAGATACACTCAATTCTTTTTGCCACAAATTGTTGTGTACGTAAAAAATATTAGTTACACTGTTAATTACTTTAAGTCCATGACTTGCCTCAAACTAAGGTTTCCTTACCTTCAGAACAAAAAATAACACCTCTCCATTTAGCCCGGGTATTTTCTTTCCCATGGAAGATTCTATCCTTTAAAGACTAAAGAATATTGGTTATTTCTCTTTTCTGGGTTTTTATTGCTTGTGACTAAATGGTCCCCTGCCCAATTTGGATACTATGCTGATTTTTAGTCATACAAAGATAAATAAAACTGACCCCTTTCCCTGTAGGTGGTCACAGTCTGGAAGCAATGATAGACATATAGATAAATAATTATCGAGTATAGTAAGTGTTTCAGTAGTACAGAGCCAGGCTGAAACTAAGGTGATACTTGTTTCAGGCACAAATTGAGGGGCGTCAAAAAACCTCAATAATCAAGATAAATAATATTTCAACTCAATATTTTAAAAATCGAAATTGATGCAAAAAATTCGTGATGAACAAAATATTTCAATTTTAAATAAATATAGGGTCAATATTAATAATGTTTTCTTTCGCCTCAGGCTCCAGTATTGCTTGGCGTGGCACCGTTTTAGACGGTGAATAAAGGATGCACTTAACCTTGTAACTCTGTCGATAGGGTGAAAAGAAACAAAGCAATGGCAGGCAGGGCTTCTTCCATGAGATGGCATTGAACTAAACTTTGTAGAATAATTTACAGTTCTTTTAGCTCCCCCCCGCCTCTACTTCTACAAGCAAGCAGACAAGAAACAAAAGCACATTTGTATCACTTCTTGTAGCATGAGAAGAGATGGAGATTTGGAAGGTTCAGGGGAACTCTTACTACTAATAAAGATCAGGATGAACGTAGGGAAGGCTGAATGCAGAGAAGTGAGGGCTGTTGATGTCAGAAAGACCCAAAGGGGCTGGAGTAGGGACAGTTTTGTGTAATTGACTAAGGAGATGGGATTTGGTACCTATTAGTGACAATTTATTAAAAATCTTGCAGGATAATAAGAGGAAAACTAACGTGATTATGCTTCTGTTTTAGACAAATCACCTGATTGCTATGTGAGTAATGGTTTGGGGGGCCATGAGTCTAGAGGTACTGGAAAAATTGAGATCTCTCATTTTTCTTTTCTCTCTTAATTAATCTTCGCCTTCCATTTTTTTTTTCTAACCCAATGACTTCATGGTCATTGTAAAAATGATACATAGTTCTTAAAAATAAAGATAGCATTGCAGAAATTTAAGAACAGTCTCAAAAATCCCACCACTCAGAAATTATTAACATTTCATGAACATTATCCCAGATAAGTCTGTATAGATATGTTTGTATATAAGAATAGACTGCTCGATTAAAAGACACAATTTTATACTTACAAATATATGCCTTAAATGCTGCCATTAAGTAATAAAAAATTAAATTGGCTTTTGTCTCAATTTAAGATAAAAATGTAAAAACCTAAGAAATTGTTGAAAATTAGATAGTGTTTCTTCAAAGGAAGAGACTTTAGAGAGTCTTTGCTTTTTTATCCCAGATTTTAATCTTTATTTCAGCAAATTTTTCTCTAATTTGTGTCTAAATAATTTTTTCTTTAGAAACGCTAATTGTGTTGAATCTCTTTTGTCTCTGTGTAACTGTTTATAACATTCTCTATAATCACTTTTGTATCTTTAAATTTGTCGTCAAAACTGTTGTCAACCATAAACCCAAGCGAGCTTTCAATTTTGTGTGTTCTATTTTGTAACTTGTGATTTTCAACTCCGAGGTGGTTTTATTTCATTTCTTTCTTTTTCTCTGCCATTTCATTTTTCATCTCTTTTTTTTTTCTATTTTTATCATCGCTTTGTCGAAACATTTTCTCTCTTCTTTGAGCTTCTCAACTCTATTAATGAGAGCACGTGCATAATTTCTTTTGAAACTACAGAGAACTATTTATACAACCTCTTCCTCTGTTTCCTGAAAAACCTTGTTCTCCAGTGGGAGCTTCATTTGCTTTTTCATTGTGTTTTCCCCTCCTGTGCCTGTAATCTGGGCTGGTATCTGTCTATTAATCACTGAATAAGGGAGCCAGCTATTTACTGAGCT